AGACTTAGGTCAACAAACAAAGCGCAATTTTAAATTAAGATGTAAGTCTTACCAACAGAAAAGGCCTCGGTAGAGTCAGTAACTCTCAAACTGCCTTTCGATCTATTCTGCAGTAATACTCAGGCCTGAGTTTCCAAGGCGCGAATCTAACTGGGAAGGGTTGTACATGTTACTGAAAATTTAGGGTTATGGAGGGTTTATGATTTAACGGAAGACAATAGGGGGTTCGAGTTTGAGTTAGGTTGGAGTTATCCAGGGATCGAGAACTCGGGAGTAAACCGTTTGAGTGTTCGAGTGGAGCAAAAAATGGGCATCGACTCTTATTTCGAGATAGTGGGTGGAAGGTTCGAGAATTCAGTATTACGTACACTGTAAATGATTCAGCTTTCCGAGAATTTAAATTAGATAAAACAGTACGTTTAATTGTTTTATTGGCGTTGCTTACGTCCTGGAAACCCAAACGATCGCCAGTGATGATTGCCAGGTATAACCAGGCAAGGGCGCCTGATATGTGTCACATTCAGAGGAAAAAAAAAAAAGTTGAAATGTATTAAATGAAAACTGTGAAAACAGAACACAGTCCTAAATGGACACATACTGTTCCGACGATTTTGCTGCGTTGGGTCCAGACGTAAGATTACGTAACCCTACTAAAATTGTCAGCGATTACTTTGCCCGGACAAGACAAGTTCCTAGAGCAACTTAGAGGGATTAACTATAAAAATTGTTGAATCTGATAAAAGGTCTGCCGGTCTCTAGCAAGAATGGACCTAAGAGCACCTATAGATAAAGAGACTAGTTAAAGGATTGGTGAAGGGAAAGAAAACTTTAATTAGTTTTCAGGGATTCTTTTAAGAAACACAGAAAGAATTTGAAAAGGCATGCCAGACTTTTTACATTTTCTATTTATCGCTTTGTAGCTTCGGTGCACCTAAATAGATTTAGCTTTTTTAGGTTTCTATTAATATAATATGTTTAATTAATGGAATTATTTGTTTTGGATTTTAACAGCACAAAAACGAAGATACGAGAGCGGAGGAAAAAAATGACATTCCTTTGTATTTTTCATTACCTAAATTGTGGTGAGAGAAGAAAAAAAAAGAAACAAAGATTACACTGAGTTGCAGCGAAAAGACTGTAATTTTCATTAACTTCTCTTTCATAAACCCAGACATATAAGTATTTTTAACAGTTTTTTCATATTCTTTTATTTCTATTCACAGATCTCTGTCGGCATCTCAAGTTTACCACACCAGTCGATGGATATGCTCTGCATGGCCACGTGATTAAAAATATTTCATTAAACTTGGGAATGCGCGCCTCTTGTAGAAGTCGATGTACCATGGAAAATAATTGTGTGTCAATCAACATCGGTCCACCAATAAACGACAAAGTGTTATGTCAGTTGAGCGACTCTGACCACCTTCGACACCCTGATGATCTCAAGCCACGTGACGGTTATATGTACAGAGGCACCGAGGTTAGAAAATGAAGACTTCTGTCGGTATCACTATTGTTCATGTTCATTGTTCATAATTATATCTAGTTATCTAGTTCAGTTTCCAGTGGTGGGTCCAGATCTTGAGCTAAGGGGGCCAAAATAAGGTGGGGACGGGTCCCCCCCCCCCCCACCCTAGATCCGCCACTGGTTTGTTGGTACGTAGTCAGCCAACAAGTCAGCCATTCAGTCAGTCAGACAGTCGGCCGGTTGGTTGGTTAGCTAATATGAAAACGTACGTACGTTAGCAAACAGCAAAGCAAACTCGACAAGGATACTATCAATGCTTTATAGAAAATTGTTACCATTAAGTTTCAACAAACAAATTTATTTCCTCATCAGAATGCATGCTTCAGTAACCCATGTGCTGAGAACGCGACCTGCCTGAACGGATTTACAGACAAAAAATACTTCTGCGTATGTCAGACAGGATACAAGGGAGAACATTGTGAAAAAGGTGAGCCCAAAAACGATGCGTCTAAAGAAATTATCTCGTGATATATCACTGCACATGATCGATACTGATAAACGCAACAAGTAGTATTCGCATCTATAGTCTCATGTCAACGTGTGTCTGTCTAGCTTGGTCTCTTTGTGAGAAACTGACTATTCCGAGACTCCATTTATCTTTCTATGTTTCACTTATTTATTGCCTAGATATTAATGAATGTGATAACGGCAGCAATGATTGTCACGTAAATGCAAATTGCACAAACACCGTTGGATCCTTTACCTGTACCTGCAAGGTGGGATACACTGGAGATGGACGCATATGTTCAGGTATGTTATTTAAACTTTAACGTTTAAACAGAGCACCTCATTTATATGGTCTGTTGGTTGGTTGTTTAGTTTGTCTTCTCAAGCTTCTTGTTTTCTGACCTTTCTTACGGTTTGTTTGTCTTGAAACATTTTTTTTTCAACCGAGGTTTTTCCTTTTTAGATTGTCTCTAGTCCTGTTCTCCTGTTTTATTGAACAAAAGGACCACGTCCTTATAATAACAATGTAAGATTTCTTTTCCCTAGCGTTTGCCCGGTCCTGTAAACAGCTGTTTGACTTGAACTTGTAAGTACTTGGTCTTTCTTTTTTTATCATTATTATGGAAAAATTTACTCAGTCTCTAATCTATGCTCAAAAAAACAAACAGAGTTACAGCAACCACAACAAAAAAACAAGAAAACATCCAATGCTTTGACTTTAATGTATATTGGTTGGTTAGTAGTTCACTCACAGACAAGGGCATTGCAAAGTACTCCCTCACTCTCACGTAATTCTTTAGATCCACGGGTAATAAAGCCTACCCACTGCTACTGGGATCATCACTTGAACTTAAAATCTACTGTCATATGACTAATGACCTTACGGGATGTGGAGGTGGTGGATGGACGCTGGTCATGAAAATCGACGGCGATAAGGTAAAATATAACAGTCTTCATGTCGTGTAATTATAGTACATTTACAATTTGTAACCTGATTGTTATTCCGCCATTTCCCTCCTTGAGATTTTCTTCCATTTTGAACGGGAGATACACTCTGTGATGCTTAAACTCTCAGCTTTTTTTTCCTTGCAGAAATTTTGTTTCATCAATTGTTAGTTTACGTCGT